TGTCGGGGCTCGAGGATGACTGAAAGATGGTGTCGCGCGTCGCCATCACGACCGCGGGACAGGCGTGCTGAAGGAGCCGGGGGCCTGGCGGAGAGGCGTCGACGTTGGCGTTGACGTTGACGTCGGCGGGTGGGTCGCAGAGTGGCCAGGGGTGCAGTCGAGTGGCGAACTCGGCGTTGAGACAAAGCGCCAAGGCGGGGCCGAGGTCGGCGAGCGGTGGCGGCGGCTGCGACGGCGCCAACGTCAACGCCAACGTCGACGCGGACGCCGGCGCCTGCGACGAGGCGCGCCTGCTGCGTTCGTCTACGCTGCGCGCGCGGCGCTGCTTCGCAGCAACGGCGCCTTTGGCGGCGAGGCGAGGCGCCTGACGGCGAGTCGAGCGACTGTCGGTTTTATGCAAGCAAATGGCGTCGGTCGTGTTGCTGCGGCGGCCGGAAACGCGGCGCGCCGCCAGCCAGCGGCACTGGCCTGAAAAGCGCCGCCTCTTCTCGCCGTCGCCGTCGCCGTCGACCTCCAAGTCGCCGTCGCCGTCGCCGTCGCCGTTGGTCGCTTTTCCCGCCGGCCCAGCTGGGCCAGTCGTCTCGCCGTCGAGACGGCTACGCCGATCGAGCCACGAGTCCGGAGTCGTGGCGCGCCAAACGCATCGCCGTTCGGTCCGGCTCGGCGCGCCGCCCACCTCCACGCTGGACCGGTAGCAGAAGCCGGCCTCCTCGCCTGCGTCGTCTTTCCGCGTCGCCTGCTCCGCGCCGCGCCGGCGCGTCGACGTCTGACCGGCTTGACGCGGCGACGCTCGCGGACGCGCCGGCTTGACGTGGCCGCCGGCGGACGTGCGCAGCTCCGGCGGCCTGGCCAGTTCGCCGTCGCTGCTGTAGGGGCTGTCGCCGAAGCCGGCGTGCCGCGGCTGGCCGAGCCCGTTGGCGGCGGCGTAGACGAAACCGCCGCCATCGTCGTCGTCCAGATCGGCCGAGTCGATGGGCGACCGCGGCGCTCGTCTGGCGACGAGGCTGGCGCCCAGCCATTGGACGACGCAGCGCGACGCCGACGTCGACGCCGACGCCGACGCCGACGAGGTGGACGGCGACGGCGAAACGGAAACAGACACCGAGACCGAGTCGCCCCGGAGCGTGGCCGCGGCGCTGGGCGCGTCGATGTGGAGGGTGCGGCAGAGGCGCAACTTTGAGTGCCGCGCCGGCCGGACGACGAGTCCGGCCAACTCGACGTCCAGTTCGGAGCGGCTCGAGTCTCCGCTGCCGCCGGCCGGACTCGCGCGACCCGAAGTCGGTCCGCTGAGCGAAGTGGTCGCCGAGCCGCCGGGCCGAGTCGCTTTGCCTCCGGCTCGCCACGACTTTCCGCGGCCGCCTCGCAACAGCCCACCCGCTCGACCGCCGCCGGCCTCGACGACTGGACTCGACGACTTGCCCTCCAGCCGCACTCGTTCGCCCCCATCCAAGCAGCACTGCACCTCGGCGTTGCGCCGCTCCGGCTCCGACACCGGCCCCGACACCGGCCCCGACACCGGACTCGGACTCGGACTAGGACTCGGACTCGCACCCACCATTTGCACAGCTTGACCGACCGGCGTGTCCGGCCGCAGCCGAAGGTTGGGCAAAGTGCCCGCCCTGCTCAGGCGTTTGCGCTTCTCGTTCAAGTAGTTCAAGGCGTTCGAGAGCATCCTGGCCCGAGAGGAGACCGCCCGTTCACTCGGCCACCCGCCAGCCAGGCTCGGCTCTAACGGTAGAGGCGCTGGTGACAAGCGGTGGTCGGCTTTCAGAGACAAAGTGCAAGGGCCACAGGTGGAATGCAATGTTTGTTTTACTTTTCTATACTATTAGCATATTTTAAATATTTTCACATTAATATATAGCATTTCAATATGACCTGCATTTATATTACTTATATACTACTTATAAATAATTAAATAAAAATAAAAATAATAAATTCACCTCATCGACAATCATAGTGCAGAAAACAGAAAGTTGATCCTGAAACCAATTATTTTTCTACTCTATAACTCAACTGTAATACGTGCACAATACACTATAAGATGACAGTGATCATTTTACTTTTCTATACTATTACGATATTTTAAATATTTTTATATTAATATATAGCATTACAATATGACCTGCATTTATATAAACATATTTAT